AAACTAAACTTAACTAGATTTATTTATTTAGCTTTTATTTATTCTAATATTTTTTAACTTTACTGTTCTTATTTTAAAATTATCTAACCATCGTAGCTTTTAGTTGCTGTTTTGCTGGTTTAGGCTTGTCGGTACTTTCCCTCTGGCTTTAGCTTTCAGTTGTTGTTGATCTGATTTAGCTCAGTTTATGCTGTAGCCTTAAACTACTGTACGACTCATTTTAGCTTTGAGCTGAACAACACTACCATTAATTTTAGGGAAAATATATATTAATTTTCTGTTTACTTACAGAAATACAACATGTGTTTGTTGTTTGTTCAATAGAGGCAAGAACAGTAAAAACCAGAGTTGTAAAGTAACTAAGTACAAATACTTTGTTACTGTGCTTAAGTAGAATTTTTGGGTATCTGTACTTTACTTGAATACTTATTTTTCAGCCTACTTTTTACTTCTATTTCTTACATTTTCACACAGTTATCTGTACTTTCTACTCCTTCCATTTTTGAAAAAGGCAAGAAGTAGAAAGTTTTTACGTTTATTTCATTTTTGCTTGTTTTTATTCCAGCTTGTTTTTGTAAAAATAAATACTATCCATATAAACTGTGCCTCCTACATAGAGTGAATTTAATTGTGGTTGAATGAGAAGTATAAATATATAAAATTCTGATGCTGTATTAGTTTGTACACAAACAAATCATGTCACACTCCAGCAGGACATAATCATTAAAATAAAAGGACTGTACTTAAGAAGTATTTGTATTTCATGAATTATATTATTACATTTGGCTGCAGCCCTTGGATATATTTTTATTTTGGGGAAAAGGTTTGGGCCTCCTTGATATATAAACTGAAACAGACTAGTGCATCCTAAATTTAACATAAATTAATTATTTTTAATACAACAGTCATTTCTACATTTTTTGGAGGTCACCACCTAATAAATGTCATTACAGAAAATCTAACTGCTCATTTTAAATCAATACTTTTACTTTTAAAACTTAAGCACAAAAAAAATCTGATACTTTCTTTTACTCAATTAATATTCCTAAAGGAGACTTTAACTTTTACCAAAGTAATTTTTGGTAAGATACTTGTACTTTTACTCAAGTATTACTTTGTGGTACTTTATACAACGAACACTGGTATAAACAAGTCTGTTTCTCAGTTTCAGGGAAAACAGCTGTGAAGAGATGAATCAGTGTAAATCCATTCCTCACCGACAGGGGGCAGACTGTTCTGAAACATTCACCGGAAACGGAAGTTAGATCATTATCAACAACCTGAGTTTACTAAAACTTCACTAAAGCCTCAGATAACAGTCTGTAGTAACTTCTATGTTGTTTTAGGCGTAACATTACCCGGTGCATTATGAAGAAAGCACCGTATTTCGCAGCGTGGAGGTGTGCTGTTCTGTGTTTGCTCGTCGCCGGTTAGTTAAGCTGAGACAGTTAGTGGACTGTAGTCTCTGACAGCCTTAGTTTAGCAGTAATATGCTCCGACATCACGCTTCGTTTGAACCAGGTTGTGGAATTATCCTCGGTGTTTGTTAGCTGGCTTTGACCCGTCTGCATGCTTCGTGAGGCGCTGGTGATGAAGACCATGTCCCCGCTGCTCCTTCATCCTGCCGTCAGCATCATCTAGCCGCTGCCGGCTCTGCTCCTCTCTCCGCCCGACCCCCACGGGCGATGGCTCACTGCGGACACTCCGAGCCGAGCGCCAAGCTGCAGGCACCAGACAGCGTCCCACCGGACCGGAGCACCACCAGGCCGGTCCTATTCGAGATCTTCGGCGAGATTTGGACCGTCCAGTCGCGGCTCGGCCAGGGGGTGTCGGCCTCGGTGTACCGGGTCAGCTCCGGCAGAGCCGCCACGGCCGCCGTGAAGGAGTTCCAGGCCGACTCTCAGGGAGGAGACTACGGCTTCCACAAAGAGAGGTCTGTGCTGGAGGACATCCAGGGACACAAAAACATCGGTAACTATGTGTCTTCAATCCGTTCAAGCTGTTGCTGACTGCATACAACTCACACGTATATTCTGCCAATTGTACATCTGATAAATTAAGAAAACAGAAGCTGGTGTCTGACATTTAAAACATAAAATAAAAACAAAGCTCTGAACTGATGATGCTCTTTATTTATTCTTGGTCTGTGTTTCTTTTCCTAGTGTGCGTGTTCTTGTGTACATCCTGTTTATGTGCTTGTGAGTTGGAGCAGTTGTAGTGAAATGGGACACTGTTAAATTCACAAATTTAACAGCTGTGAACTGAGCTGTTCAGATGCCTTAACAGAACACAGTGTCTTCTCATATCTCCTGGATCTAAAGGCTGATTTACTCCCTGTCAGACAGAAGACACGTGTTCTCGCTGACATGGTTGTGAGGTGTTTCCTTTCATGTGGACAGTTTAGACTCAAAGAGAAATCCTGTGATCTTTTTACCTGTGTGTTGCTGTGAGCTGCTGATTACTGGATGATGTCCTGATGTATCTCAGTAATCCAGGTAAAAAAATCAAAAGGAAAAAAATTGTATAGGTCTTCTGGACGGGTTCTTCTCTAATGAAACTTTTTGTCTCTCCTCCAAGAGACTTCTTCAGTCTGAGAGTTTCAGGCTAAATTCAGGCTTTTAAGCACTGCCTCCATGTGACTGATACTCACATCACATGGCTATCGTTGACACCTAATTAACACTTATTGTTAACAGGGGGTGGAGTGATACTGGCAATAGCCGCGCTGTAGGAGGGGGACAACTGAAAACGGAGGCCTCCACCTCTGTTTAATGATGGACGGTCTTTCTTCACAAAAATGGCTTCTTTTACTCCTCTCTCAAACCAACGTTCCTCTCTATCAAGAATGAGAACATCCTCATCTCTGAAAGAGTGACCGCTGGCCTGTAAATGAGTGAAAACTGCAGAGTTCTGGCCATTAGATGTAGCTCGTCTGTGTTGGGACATTCTTTTGAACAGTGGCTGCTTTGTTTCCCCGATGTATAACTGGTCGCAGTCCTCCTGGCACTTAACAGCATATACAACATTGCTCTGTTTGTGCCGGGGCACCGGATCTTTGGGGTGAACCAGCCTTTGCCGTAATGTGTTTTGAGGTTTGAAAGCCACTGGGACATCATGTTTAGAAAATAAACGTCTCAGTTTCTCCGAAACACCCGCAACATACGGAATAACCACTGGTTTGGGTCTGGGTTTGGGGTCTTCATTTTCACCTGAAGGTTGCATGGAATCCTGTCTGTGTTTCCTGTCTGCTTTCAGGAAAGCCCAGTCAGGATAACCACACTGCTCCAGGGCCTGTCGTGTGTGTGATTTCTCTTTCTGCCTGGCTCCTGGGTTTGTAGGGACACTGTCTGCTCTGTGGTACAGAGTCCTGATCACTCCTAACTTGTGTTCCAGTGGGTGGTGGGAGTCAAAACGCAAATATTGGTCTGTGTGGGTGGACTTACTTAAGTCCACCCACACAGACGAAAGAAGAGACGAAACGTTTCATTAGAGAAGAACCCGTCCAGAAGACCTATACAGTTTTTTTCTTTTTGATTACTGGATGATGTTTACGCTGGCAGCAGTGAAGGAACTCCTCAGGTTGCCTTCAGGCCCAGGCCTCGCTCGCACAGGAGATATTTAATCTCAGTGGGATTTTCTTGGTTAAATAAAGGTGAACATCAGAGCAGCAGGGGAAAAAGCCGAATGTGCTCTGGGTCTGGAGCGTCAGCTGGGAGTCCTACAGGGTGACCCTCATCATGCCCTCTCTGTTCTAAATTGAGCTTAAACCAAAAAAAAAAAAACCCTGTTATGTTTAATTGAAGTGTTGCCCTGTATTAATTAACTCTCTTTTCTCTGGAAGGAGAAACAGAACCGTATAGATTTATGAAGTATTTTCTCTTCTGAGGGTGATTGGCTGATCTGGCTAAGCTCAGAGTCGTGTTGCCGTCCCCTGTGCAGGGCGAGATACCCCTCACCCTTTATTCTGTTGGGGTCTCCCAGATGAAAATAGCCAGCTGTTTGTTTTTTTTCTGCTAGTTTACTAGCTGTGTACATCTCCTGGCCCACACAGGTTGTTTCCCCATCTGACCCATTCATTGCAGTTTGGAGGATCAGAGCACTAAATGAGGCGTAACCTTGCATAGATCTGTAAGTTAGTGCTAATGACCTGTCTGTTCTCCAGCAGGAGACACAATAACTGTTTTTATGTGGACTCCAAAGGCACATGCGGCCCTCTTACCCCGAATTTACACTCTGTCTGCTCCACTGCAATGTCTGCAGCAATGGGGGCATTTACATTAAAACTGCAGCGCGACGTGTGCACCAACATCCTCCAAAACTATATTTGATCATCCTATTTATGCTGGACGGTAGAGCAAGTGGGGAGTCAATCTACAAAGATCACACCAATAAGAATGAGCACGACATTCATGTTTTTAAAATAATTCACCAAAAGACAGACTACATTTTGCCAAAATCCTAGCTATATTAATGAATATATTGGTATATTTATACGTACATGCTGTCAGAATGTGTCATTCTGTTTGGGAAGCAGATGGCAGCGTATGCACGCACACACACACACACACACACACACACACACACACACACACACACACACACACACACACACACACACAAAGAAAGACATGTGGGTTTTATTTTGAAATTTGGATTCCAAAATAGACAACAGTCATTCTGTTTCAGCCCTTCTTTCACAGAATGAATTAAAAACAGTCTGACGTCCACATTTATCACTGGCTTTATTGCACGATCTCGCATTTCTTGCTAGATCTCTTCTTTCAGCTAGAAAGGCAGGAGGGAAATGAAAGCAGCATTAATCTGCTGTTTTTATGTTTATTAGCGCAACATAAGATAATAATTTCAAAAGTAAATTTCTGTCACTGTTCTTGATGTTCTTCGTGTGTTCTCAGTATTGTGGTGTTTCTGTCATTTATTTAGTTTGTATTTTCTTGATTTTCACACTCCGTTCTTGGATTATGTTGTTGCTGATTATGTGTTTGTTGCTGTTTATGTCCTGTTGATGTTTTCAGTGACGCTATACGGCGTGTTCTCCAACCACAACTGTGAGGGAGTGTCCACTTACTGTCTCCTGTTGGAGCTGTTGGACGTCAGTGTTTCTGACCTTCTGGTGAGACGCAGCACTGATCTCCAAGGCGGGAGGTAAAATATGTTGCTGCTGATTACACAACAAAAGTACATGTTCCTGTCCAACCTGGTCTTTTACAGATTGATTTGATTTGATTTATTKATTTAACAGGAAAAGATTATTAAAAAGCAAGCCTGACTCAGCATATATGCTGTTTTACAACAGGTCCTGTTCTGCAGCACGTAAAAAACACTCAGAAATACAGCATCACAATCACATCATTATACACCATAGACACAAAGACAAACAAGCATACCAAATTTCAAAAAGGCAGCATTTGCAAAATAGGACATCTAAATATGAGCACAACAAAAAGTGTCCAGCAGATGGCAGACAAGATTCTTCTTAAAGGGCTGTAGTTTTGAAATGGACACTATGTTTTGAGG